AAAGCTTTCGATCCGTAAGCCCGGATCTTCATCAGTGCTAATAATATTTAAATATTATTAGCACTGATGAAGATCCGGGCTTACGGATCGAAAGCTTTGCAGTAATAAATTTACGTGGTGTTTCCACAAACAAAAACAATTATATTTTATCGCCATGCAAACATTCAAAGAACTTAATTATCTTTGTATTATCTATTTTAGAAATTTTTCCTTGCTTCGTTGCATCCAGTCTGTATTTCTTTGCTTTTGTGTCATCCTTTTTTCATTTCTTCGTTTTTTCCAGCATTTGTTCTCTTCATCTTTGATTACTCCTTTAAATTTTTCATTCTAAATTTGTTAATTTTTTGCTAACATCTTTTCATTTACTATTTTAATGATTTATCTTTCACCATCTACCTTTATATGTCCACATCTACACGTACTCTTTCATTTCTAATCTTTCCTTCCATCTTTCTTCTCGTCCTTACTAAATTATTGCCTAATCCTTTCACTAATCATTCTTTTCTTTCTAACATTCGGTCTTCCCTTCCATCTACATTTCATTACATCCTTTCGTCCTTTTACGTTTCTTCAATCTTATGTTACCTAACTCTTTGCCTTTCGTCCGTCGCTCCCTTTTCTCGTGTGTTCTTCCGTCCTTCCTTCCTACCAGCTTTCATTTTCGTTTTTTTCATTCAATCCTCTTATTCCTTTCGTACCGTCATTCTTGCTTGCTCTTATCTTTCTTCCATCGTCTCAGGCATCCCATATTCTTCCTTGTTCTTCTCTTTCTACCTGAGTTGCCAATTTCCAAATAATTTTTTATCTCTCTTCTTTCCTCCCTACACTATATTCTTCTTTTCTTCCTTCCATTTATTTTTTCCTCAGATTTTCTTATTTTCTCCACTAATCGTACTCTAAGATTATATTTCGGGAATCTTTCTTTTTCTAAGATTATATTGTCCTGTCATTATTCCCTAACTCATATTTACAATTTTTAACATTCTTTCTTCAGTACATAATCTCTCTTTTCAACAGGTGTATTGAATCAGTTGTGTACTATGGTGTCTCATTTTCGTCTGTCTTACTTGGTGGTAATATATATCTAAGTTTCTTTATCATTAACTCAATGGAGTTCCCAGCAACTTTTTTGACAATTTGGACTATTGAAAGGTAATGTTACTCGCACCTTTTTGTTATATGGAGATTATCTACTTTGTGTGTGTTGTATTTCCTGTTCTGTGTGATAAGACAGCAAAAGTGTTTTATTAGAAAGGCTACGCCAGTTCAAGATACGCCAGTTCCAGTTTACTGCATGCACAGGCTACTGTACACGTACTTAAGAAGTGCAAATTATTCCGGGGTAAAGAAAGGGTATTAGTTCGCTTAAGTTTTAGTCCAATATCATTTCTCCAGATTTGGCAGAAAATGGACAACATTGGGTGGAATGATCTTGGCTTGTGCCGCATCGATCCTCGGCGTCGTGTTCAGAATGCATCAGGATTATGTTTATGACGGTAAGCTTCATAGGAAACCTGGATCCACCCGTAGGGATAGTCTAGAGTTATAGAGTTATGCTATTGATGTTTAGGTTTCCTCTTAGCCGTAATAAGTGAACAAGGGATGTGTTAATTGTCCTTATTTGCAAGGTGAACCGGTTAAGCTGAATTAGCTGGACGTATATCAACCTAATTGAGTCGAATGCTTACTAAGGATGCCACTGGCATACATGAACTTGCGGTTAGAGCTTCGACAAATAGACTCTGTAGCTCGGTATAGAGCGCTGCACCGAAATCGCAGGGTCGCAGGTTTTATTCCTACTAGAGGGTCTGCTTGCATTTTTTGCAACTGCTGCTGGTTTGGTCTAATAAATGTATAAAATTTGCACTCAAAATCTTCATCTCTAAAACCCTTCAATAATTATCTATGTAAATAAATAAAATTAATTTAGTTTGTTAGTGCTTTTGGTCTTGATGTATTTATGTGTTCTTACCAGGATACTGGGTGATGACAGTGATTATGGCAATGCTTTCAAAGGGCTGCATCACTCTTTCTTTCAGTGGTGTTTGGGTGTGGTCGAATGAGCTCTTCCCAACTGTTGTGCGGTAAGTTTAACTCTAATTACTCGTTACTTTTTGGATAGTAAATAGTTAAGTGATTATAATTTCTTTCGTTTTGAAGCAACACTGGAATGGGAACCACAAATGGTCTGGCTAGAATTGGATCATTTATGTCAGGATACATTATTTGGTTGGTGAGTATGATTTTGACTGTTTCGTAGGGGAATGTCCCTTTGTGGATTTCTGGAGAGAGAAGTCTAGAACTGATAGAATTATCCAGTATAAATCAAATTAGTGCAGTCTTAGTTATATGTAATCTATTTCTCCTTTTATCTCTTCTTTATAGACTCGAATTCATCCGCTCATTCCGTATGCTATCTTTGCGACCTTGGCGTTTTTGGCAAGTTGCGCATGCTTGCTGCTCCCAGAAACCACTGGCCGGCCAACACAAGAAGTCATATCGGAGGCTCAAGCTCCCGTTCAACAACTTGAGCTAAGTGATACTACCGACAAGTCCGTTGTTGTCAGAAACAAAAATCTAGTTTAAATGCAATGTAGGCGAGCAATTTTGTCCTTGTCATTCAAGATTTCCGTGACATTTTTTGACAGGTTTTCCTGAAAGAGAACTTGCTCGTCTATACGTCTGTTCTAAATTTTAGTGCCAAAATATATTCATGATCATGAAATAATCTAATTTTTACTATACTGGGAACAAATCATATTTATATTTGATATTTTTTAATTGATTCTTCTAATATTGTTTATAATATATATGTTATACTAAGAACGTTTTTGATTGGCTGAAATGCGTCACGGCAAAAAAGCTCGGGAAATTTTTTGGGAAACATTTTTTTGAGAATTTCCACACACCTTTCATTTAATCATAATATTAGCATGCGTACGCAGGCGTTTAGTGCGGGCGGGAGATCGAAGAGAGGGGTTCGACGACGCCTTCTCTTCTCCCGCCCGCACTAAACGCCTGCTACGCAGGCTATCATATAAATATTCTTGGGAACGAACCCAACCGAATGTCGTTTATATATCAAATAATAATCACCACGTCATTACACTTTATTTACTCTCAAATATAGTTTCTTCTAAGAAGTACATCATGACAAATATCTTGTACATATCAAATATCCATGCATCATTCTGTCCTCG